TCTTTCAGCTTGGTTTTCTCTAGGAACGCGTTGAAGTTGAGGTTGACATGAGCGTGGACCATTTGATCTACAAGACATTTTGCAAAGGTTTTTAGACTAAGTTCATGATAATTAAGTTCATCTAATCAAATTATTTAATGAACTCCCACTCAGATTAGACATCCCTCTAGTCATCTAAGTGATACATGATCCAAGTCAACTAGGCCGTGTCCGATCATCACGTGAGACGGACTAGTCATCATTGGTGAACATCTACATGTTGATCGTATCTTCTATACGACTCATGTTCGACCTTTCAGTCTCTTGTGTTCCGAGGCCATGTCTGTACATGCTAGGCTCGTCAAGTTAACCTAAGTGTTTATGCATGTGTAAATCTGTCTTACACCCGTTGTATGTGAACGTTAGAATCTATCACACCCGATCATCACGCGGTGCTTCGAAACAACGAACTTTCGCAACGGCACACAGTTAGTGGAACACTTTCTTGAAATTATTATGAGGGTTCATCTTATTTACTACCGTCGTTCTAAGCAAATAAGATGCAAAAACATGATAAACATCACATGCAATCAAATAGTGACATGATATGGCCAATATCATATTGCTCCTTTGATCTCCATCTTCAGGGCGCCATGATCATCTTCGTCAACGGCATGACACCATGATCTCCATCATCGTGTCTCCATGGAGTTGTTCGCCAACTATTACTTCTACTACTATGGCTAACGGTTTAGCAAAGAAGTAAAGTAATTACATGGCGTTATTCAATGACATGCAGGTCATACAATAAATAAAGACAACTCCTATGGCTCATGCCGGTTGTCATACTCATCGACATGCAAGTCGTGATTCCTATTACAAGAACATGATCAATCTCATACATCACATATAATTCATTCATCACATCCTTTTGGCCATATCACATCACAAGGCATATGCTGCAAAAACAAGTTAGACGTCCTCTAATTGTTGTTGCAAGTTTTACGTGGCTGCTATAGGGTTCTAGCAAGAACGATTCTTACCTACGCCAAAACCACAACGTGATATGCCAATTTCTATTTACCCTTCATAAGGACCCTTTTCATCGAATCCGATCCGACTAAAGTGGGAGAGACAGACACCCGCTAGCCACCTTATGCAACTAGTGCATGTCAGTCGGTGGAACCTGTCTCACGTAAGCGTATGTGTAAGGTCTGTCCGGGCCGCTTCATCCCACGATGCCGCCGAAACAAGATAAGACTAGTAGTGGCAAGTAAATTGACAAAATCTACGCCCATAACAAAATTGTGTTCTACTCGTGCATAGAAACTACACATAGACCTATCTCATGATGCCACTGTTGGAGAACGTTGCAGAAAATAAAAAATTTCTACACTTCACCAAGATCAATCTATGGAGTCATCTAGCAACGAGAGAGAGGAGTGCATCTACATACCCTTGTAGATCGCGAGCAAAAGCGTTCAAGAGAACGGGGTTGAGGGAGTCGTACTCATCGTGATCCAAATCACCGAAGATCCTAGTGCCGAACGGACGGCACCTCCGCATTCCACACACGTACAGTTGGGGAAGACAACTCCTCCTTCTTGATCCAGCAAGGGGGAAGGAGAGGTTGATGGAGATCCAGCAGCACGACGACGTGGTGGTGGAAGTAGCGGCGATCTCGGCAGGGCTTCGCCAAGCTCAGCGAGAGGGAGAGGTGTTACGGGGAGAGAGGGAGGCGCCAGGGACTAGGGTGCGGCTGCCCTCCCTCCCCCCCTCTTTATATAGGGGCCCTGGGGGGGCGCCGGCCCCTAGAGATCTAATCTCAAGGGGGGACTGCGGCCAAGGGGGTGGACTTGCCCCCCAAGTCAAGTGGGGCGCCCCCCACCCCTAGGGTTTCCAACCCTTGGCGCAGGGGGAGGCCCAAGGGGGCGCACCAGCCCACCAGGGGCTGGTTCCCTTCCCACTTCAGCCCATGGGGCCCTCCGGGATAGGTGGCCCCACCCAGTGGACCCCCGGGACCCTTTTGGTGATCCCGGTACAATACCGGTGACCCCCGAAACTTTCCCGGTGGCCGAAACTGGACTTCCTATATACAAATCTTCACCTCTGGACCATTCCGGAACTCCTCGTGACGTCCGGGATCTCATCTGGGACTCTGAACAACTTTCGGGTTACCACATACTAATATCTCTACAACCCTAGCATCACCGAACCTTAAGTGTGTAGACCCTACGGGTTCGGGAATCACATAGACATGACCGAGACAGCTCTCCGGCCAATAACCAACAACGGGATCTGGATACCCATGTTGGCTCCCACATGTTCCATGATGATCTCATCGAATGAACCACGATGTCGAGGATTCAAGTAATCTCGTATACAACTCCCTTTGTCAATCGGTACGTTACTTGCCCGAGATTCGATCGTCGGTATCCCAATACCTCGTTCAATCTCGTACCGGCAAGTCACTTTACTCATACCGTAATGCATGATCCCGTGACCAACTACTTGGTCACATTGAGCTCATTATGATGATGCATTACCGAGTGGGCCCAGAGATACCTCTCTGTCATACGGAGTGACAAATCCCAGTCTCGATCCGTGTCAACCCAACAGATACTTTTGGAGCCACCCAGTTACGTTGTGACGTTTGGTACACCCAAAGCACTCCTACGGTATCCGGGAGTTACACGATCTCATGGTCTAAGGAAATGATACTTGACATTGGAAAAGTTCTAGCAAACGAACTACACGATCTTGTGCTATGCTTAGGATTGGGTCTTGTCCATCACATCATTCTCCTAATGATGTGATCCCGTTATCAATGACATCCAATGTCCATAGTCAGGAAACCATGACTATCTGTTGATCAACGAGCTAGTCAACTAGAGGCTCACTAGGGACATGTTGTGGTCTATGTATTCATACATGTATTACGATTTCCGGATAACACAATTATAGCATGAATAACAGACAATTATCATGAACAAGGAAATATAATAATAATCATTTTATGATTGTCTCTAGGGCATATTTCCAACACTTATAACATCACATCAAATGGCTATAAAAGGTGAATGAGACCAAATTATATCTCATCTAAATGAGTTCTAGCAAAACTGATTCTTAAAATCCTCAATAAGTTTACAACAATCATTCCAGAAGAATGGACCAGTGTTGGAGGAAGCATTATGAATAGTACCATTGTTGTAATAAGCTCTCCATACAAGGTTAACCCATGGAGTGTCATGATGATTGAAGAATTTGTAAAAAGAAATCATAAGTAGGGTTCTATCCTGTTGTCTCAGGTCTTTGACACCAAGGCCACTTGCACTCTTGGGCAATCACTCATTATCCCATTTGAATAGACATTTGCCTTGCTTGTTAATATCTTTAGGGAAGAAATGCTCTAACATACTTTTTTAACATGATCAGTGATAGTAAAAAGTACTTGAACCAAACACATAGCAAAATAGGCATAGCAGAAATGACTTGGTCAAATGTACTAATCTTCCAGAGTATGATAACATGGAGGCAATACGAGAAAGTTTTTTGTCTAGTCTAGTGATCATGGGCATGAGGGCATCAACTTTTGGTCTGCTAGTACCCATGGGTAAACCAAGGTAGGTAAAGGGCATACTCTCTCTTTTTTGCATCCAAGGTGATGTGAAAATTTATTGGCCCCGTCAATATTGATATTAATACAAACCCAAGGAGATTTGCATAAATTGACTCTAAGGCCAGTACATTCAGTAAATGTAGGTTATGATGTCTTTGAGAGTATCAAGTTGCATAAGGTCATCATGCAAAATGATGAGTGTGTCATCAACACATGGAATGATGGGATAACTTTGTCCATATGATTCCTCATTAGGAAGCACAATCTCACCCTTATCCCAAGTCTCATTAATCACAATTTGAGTAATTAAGTACTTAGTACAAATAGCAGGGCCTATCGAACTCCTCTCACTACATGTGATCCTTTTACCATGCGCACAATTCAGGATGATACGGTGGAAGCATACTTTAAAATACTCTGGATCCATCTCATCCATTTCTGTCCAAAGCCCACGTGTTGAGTATGTATATGATTGCACTATGCTAAACATTGTCAAAAGCATTTTCAAAATTGATTTCGAAGATCTGAATTTATTTTCTTGATTGGTGGAAGAATTCCATATATTCAAAGGGCAATAAAAGACAATCCTGGATTTCTCTGATTTTTCAAAGGGCAATAAAACATTCATGATGTTCTGAGAAAAAGTAATAAAATTGATGCTAAAAAAGACTAATTTTGAAAGCATTTTGGAGCACTTTTTTGTTCTCATGTGCATTCTACCAAGTGTGTGAAAGCATCTAGAAAACTAGTAGATGTGTTACCAAAAACTCAGTAATCTATGTCTCTGGCTTTAGATTTTACTGTTCATTTCAGTGCAGTCATTTTTATGTTATAGTGGGTAAAATGCATTCGTTACAACATAAAACATTAGTGAAATTGCATTTTACTATCAAAATATCCATTAGAAACATGCACTCGTGTTGCTAGAGCATTCTCCATGTGTTTTCTTATTTTTTTTAATTTTTTTATTTCTTTCGACAGCAGCCGTAATTTCCAATGTATTTTTTATATTTTCAGAGATTTTTCATAAAATATATATTCTGGAGTGGGGGCAAATAATTATTTTCAGGGTTTTTTTAGCAAATTTTGAGGAGGTTGAAAATAAATGTATACTCCGTAAACTAAAAAGAGAGCAGGCCGGGGCCGGCAAACTTGCGAGCGACGCTTTCCTCTTTGCCCCTGGGCTGTCCTCCAATGGGCCACATGGGCTCTCCTCGTTTTATTCCTTCTTTGCATTCCCCTGCGAACGCTTGATTCTTAAGCACTCGTCCCCTCCTCTCCACACCCAGAAGACAGAACCCCCAAAACCCTACGAGCAAGCCGCCGCAGCCGCCACCGCCACCGCCTCCCTGTCCGCGGCTACGATCTCCGGCCACCCTTCCCACGCGCACCCCCAGCCATGGCTGAACCTGAGGTGGCGGCCGCCGCAGCCGCGGCCATGGAGACCGAGGCCCCGGAGGCGAACCCTAGCCTGAAGAGGGAGCGGGAGGAGGGGGACGACCCCGCCGCCGGGGCTGCGGCCGAGGAGGCGGAGGAGGCGCCGGCCAAGAAGTCAAAGGTGGAGGAAGAGGCGAAGAAGGCGGAGGATGTCGCGGGGAACGGGGAGGAAGAGGGGGCCAAAGGAGAGGAAGGGAAGCCCGTCAAGCTGGGGCCGAAGGAGTTCGCCACGGCCGTCGACATGTTCGACTACTTCTTCGCGCTGCTCCACTCGTGGTCGCCGAACCTTGAGTTCAATAAGGTGAGGCTGTCAGTGTTAGGATTCAGCCAATCGCTTGTGCCATGCTGATGTTATTGTTATTGCGCCTCTATTGTGATCTGATATGCGTATTGCTTTTGTAGTCCAGTCCATGGTAGTCACAAGCTGGCAGGTTGATTTGATTAGTTCAGGGAGTTCGTGGTGCCTGGGCCTGGGTTAGGCAAATCATTATTTACATCTATTTGGTCCAAGTAATCTAACTAATGGTACATGATAAACGCACTCTGAAGGTTACAGATTTGCAGTTAGTCAAGGTTGGACGAACTGGTTGTAAGTTGGATCGAATCTTATGCCATGCTTAGACCTCCCAGCTTCCTGATTTGGCCCATTACCTGTTTAGAGGTTTAGTTTTTTACTTTCTAACGCAATTAGGTATCCTGAAATGTTAGTTTAGCAACCTATTGGTTTGATTTGATTGATTTCAGTGTTCTAGTATACTTGAATTAAGCAAGGTTGATCTTCTACTTCCCATTACGTGTGTTTATTATAAAAATGTAAATTATCATATACAGTGTTAGATTAAACACCTGGTAATTAATGTCTTCTTTCTTTTGCTGTACTGTTTAGGTTTCCATATGAGTTTTATCATTCAGTGGTTTGTGGTTGCTTTCGGTGCATGTGTTGATTTATTTTCATGGTGCTCTGCCCCAAGTATGTGTCAATAGTTTGTCTTTAGTGTTCATGGTCAGCATTAATATCATAATCACAAGTAGATCCAGTCAAGGCATTGAAACTTTTGGTTCCATCTGAGTTTTGCTAATGAGTGTATATGTGGTTGTTTTTTGTACATATGTTGATCTGTTTTCATGGTGCTCTGCCTGAAATGTATGTAAATAGTGTGTCTTTAGCGTTCATGGTCAGCGTTGATACCACAATCACAAGGAGATCCGATCAAACTTCTGGTTCCATATGAGTTTTGTACTTTTGTTAACGAGTGTTAGGGATGCACGGCGGCGCCCGAACCCGTCCCGCTTCGTATGCAAATTAGAAAATGTTAGTCCTAGCTAGGCTGTGATGCTGCTAGGCAAAGTTGTATTAATTCAGCACTTTGGCGGGTCTATGCGGGATGCCGCTCTGCACCCCTAACGAGTGTGTATGTGGTTGTTTTTGGTGCATATGTTCTATTTTTCATGGTGCTCTGCCTGAAATGTATGTAGATAGTTTGTCTTTAGCATTCATGGTTAGCGTTGATATCACAATAACAAGCAGATCCTGTGAGGACATTAAAACTCATTTGTTTTCTCGTTCCATCAGAGTTTTGTTATTGGTTGGTTATCTATTTTTTTCTGGCTGCCCTCCCCTCACAAATGCACACACAATGTTGAGTGTTCTGCTCCAAAATATTTTAGTCATTTGAATTTAGTATTGCTGTCAATCAGGAGATATAGGGTGTAAGCTTTGTTGTTTTGAACTTTTGATCTGATCTTGCAAATTAAGGATTCGGTGTGTTTTGAACTTTTGATCCGGTCTTGCAAATTAAGGATTTGGTGTTAATATTGACTTTGTAAAACCATGGTGTGAATATTGTCAACTTCCCTTCGAGTTTGCAGTTTCTATGGGGTTATCTGGTTATGCAATATCGCGGAAGTAACCTTTTGCCCTTTCTGTTGGGCAGTACTAGACTTATGAAATCTCTGTAGTACTTTGTATGTAAAAACTCTTATATCTTGAGGATGGTATGGTTGAAATGATTTCAACCCATCTTCTATTGCATTGGTGTAAAGTTTGTATTGGCTGGCCCAGATCATCATGCATATATTCCTTTATCATATGATTGATATATTGACCACATTTTAGGATCATGTTAGTTGATGCTTTTGAGTTGCGTCTGATGTACTGTATGCCCTTCATGCTTTAGTTCTTATCCAGATGAAAGTTTGTTATTGTCATCTGAGCTGTGAAATAATGTAGGATTATGTTAGTTGATGCTTTTGTGTTGCCTCCATTGTACTGTACGCCCTTCAACCTTAGTTCTTATTATCCAGATGAAAGTTCGTTATTGCCATCTTCATTCTGACACAGAGTGCTAACTTGAATATTACCTTTTACAGTACGAGCAGATGGTGTTGGAGGACCTGGTGAAGAAAGGCCACGCTGAGCCCACCAAGAAGATTGGATCAGGCGTGGAGGCCTTTGAGATCCGCAACCACCCGGTGTGGCAGAGCCGCTGTTTCTTCATCCGCAGGGTCGATGGGTCCGCTGATGATTTCAGCTTCCGCAAGTGCGTCGACAACATACTCCCTCTCCCCGAGGACCTGAAGGCTGGCAACAAGAATTCAAACGGCAAGAAGGGTCACCACCACAAGAACGGCGGTGGTAGAGGAGGACGAGGCGGCGGCGGCGGCCGTGGTGGAGGTGGCTTCCGTGGCGGTCGAGGCCGCGGCAGGCGGGGCAACTAGGAACCAATAATATTCCCCACAATTTTGGTTGCCCAGTGCCAATCCTTGCAGTTGAGGCATTTATCATGACCTATGCGTGTTTGTTTGCCTGTCCTAGAGACCTGTTATCCACCTATATGTACTACTGTGCGACTGATATATGATGATCCTTGGATGCTTTGCCATCATGTTGTTTCCCACTTTCTGTTATTCGGTTATCACTCGAGCTTGGCGTGAGTTGGGCCAGTCAGTCAAAACTGCTAGAAAGAGTTACAGTTTTGTTAATCTGATTGGATTTTCGTCTTGCCCAGCATGCAAAAGTGACCTGATGAGGAGCGAAGGAATATTCCCCGTAGCGCCCGGCCGATGCTGGTCTTTTTACGACGGCGAGGCGATGATCTACTCTAGTGGCAAATTTAACAATTTTGACATGTGGATGAAATCATTTCATAAAATGAACTGCTCCTAAAAAAATTCACTCAGTTGACTTTTTAAGTGTCGCCCGACATGAAGGCGCCACACTGCATGCCTGGCGAGCGTCGCACCCTGAACTGCATAAAAATTACTAAGTCAATGTGCACAAGTGGTTGTTCAACGCCTAGAAGTTAGGCGCCACACTGTAGTGTGGCGTCTAACTCTCAGGCGCTGCGCATTGACTTAGTAATTCTCAGATCACACGGGTGCGACGCTGGCTAGGGTGCAACGCCTGTTATTCAGGCGCTGCACAGTGTAGTGTGGCGCCTTCGTATCGGGCGTCACTAAAAAAGTCAGCTGAGTGAATTTTTTTTAAAGACAGTTTATTTTGTAAAATGATTTCATTCATAGGTTAAATTTATCAAATTTGCCAATGATGATTCCGTGTGGGTGATCACCGGAATTGACCGCTGGGTGGCCGCTTTCTCCGTCCGGGAAGGAAAAAAGAAGTGGATACTTTCTTGGCCACTTGTGGGCATATTTATCCGGTTATGCACGCTGTCCGTTTGTCTGTCGATTGCCGGCTTGTTCAGCCGCCACTAGGCTACGTGTCGGGCGAATGGCTAGCACTGTTGTTGCTGGATTCTTGGAATTTTTGTCGAAAGAGACCACCTGCCGGATGAAATTGTCAAAAAAAATCCCCTCCGAATGAAAATGACAAAAAAGACCCTCTCAACCGTGACGGCAGACGCGCCAGATGACACGTGGCACCTGCCGCCATGGCACCAGGCGGCAGCCCCTGCCGCCACAGCGCCAGGCGGCAGGCTCGGCATAACAGCAAAAGGCTGTCACGACGGAACGGGCTGGCGATGCTGGTCCCGGCCGCCTCAGGGGCTGGCGGCAGGACTGTGCCGCTGGGCCCGACCGCCTCTCTGGCTGGCGGCAGGTCTCTACATGCGCGCTGCAGTCCGGCTCGTCGTGAGTTTATGCTTATAGATACTAACAACCACACATCGATCATAGGAGTAGGAGTAGGAGTAGGATGAAATGAATTCCCGACTGTGTAGACGCTTGATGAGTTTATGCTTAGAGATACTAACAACCACACATCGATCATGTACGAGTAGGATGAAATGAATCCCTGACTGTGTTTTACTACTAACACATGTAGACGCATGCAGAGACCTGTCGATTAATCATTGCTTTTTCTACAAAAGAAACCTGCCGCCAGCCAGAGAGGCGGCCAGTCCGAGCGGCACAGTCCTGCCGCCAGCCCCTGAGGCGGCAGGGGCCCACATCGCCGGCCCGTTCCGTCACGCCAGCCTTTTTGCCGTTATGCCGAGCCTGCCACCTGGCGCCGTGGCGGCAAGGGCTGCCGCTTTGCACCGTGGCGGCAGGTGCCATGTGTCGCCCGACGCGCCTGCCGCCACGGCTGAGGGGGTCCTTTTTGTCATTTTCATTCGGAGGGGGTCTTTTTTGACAATTCCCTTTAATAGGTGGTCTTTTTTGACAAAAAATCGGATTCTTGGCGGTAGCTTTTCGCTCCATGGCCCATGGGAATTTCCTTTACATGCCGTCCACACCCCCAACACCTAGTTTTTCTTTCAAATACAGTGTCAAGTCATTCCAACAAACACCTCCTGGACGTACCACCATGCCAGATTCGAGCATGCCGGTGACGGTTCCAGACCACCCCGTCCTTCCTCCTCCGCCATGGCCGTCGGTGGCGTCGGCGTTTTGCTTTGCGTGGAGGACGGCACGTCGAGCAGCACGAGCGCCACGAATCCCGGCCGCAAACTCGCCCGCCATGCTCCCCCCCCCCCCGGGCCTCGGAGTTGCTCGCCCCGTCCCGTCCACGCCCGGAGTCTATCGCCCTCGCCCCGTCCACGCCCGGCCAGGAGCTCCACCTCGCTCGTGAAGAAGGCGTAGCTGGTGGAGAAGGAAGCGGTGGAGGAGGACGACGGGAAGAGTTTGGACAAGCTGGTGCTCCTCGCCGGCGCCGCCGGTGTCTTGCTCGCGGAGGAAGGCTTGAGGAAGGAACGCAGGGGGGTGGCGCGGGCGGCAACCAGCCAGCGCTCGATGCCCTTGTCGGCGGCCTCCATCCCGCGGGCCAGCTGCGCAGTGCGGTAGACGTTCCAGTGCGGGGCGGCGACGGCACGGCGCGCGAGGTCGAGCGCCCCTGAGCTGCATGGCGAGCTCGCACAGCTCAGCGTTGCTTCGAAGCGCGTGGCGGCCGTTCTGCTGCACGAGGGGCGGCGGCGGCTCGACGTTCCGGCGCAGGCGCTCGGCGGTGGAGCGGCACAGGAAGGTGTCCTGCACCGCCCACAGCAGCTCATGCACGGCGTCCCTGGCCAGCTCCTCGAACAGGACTTCTCCATGGTCGCAGGCGCTCGGCGGTGGAGCGGCACAGGAAAAGAGAGGACATAGGGTGAGGGCACGTGGGTGGGGCCCAAATAAAAAGAGAGGAGAGAGGGAGGTGGGAGGCTGAGGGTGGGCCAGCAGCGAGAAAAGGAGCCGCCGGCACGCCCAGCTGCCCCCAGGGGGCTGGGTTTGGGGTGGGATTGCCGGCGTCATTTTTTTTCAAATCCGGCGAAAAGTGACGCTTTGCGGACGCGTGTGGGAGAATTTTTTGCCGTCGGTGTTAATAAAGTGGCCTGGAGGCGTTCCTCGAGGTGCGGGTGGAGATGCTCTCATCAACGTGTAGCAGCCTTTGACAACGGTGATTGTTGGTGAAACCTTGTGCGCATGGGAAGAAATAATATGCCCGTGTAGTGATCTAAAACGTCTTTTATTACTTTGCAGAGAAAGTATATCCTATTCGAATCAGATCGTAGCAACTGGGTTTGCTCGGTGACGTGCGTGCTTTAGGTAGAAAAAAGAAGTCTAGAACTCTTGATGCGCACGAACGGGGTGCGTCCGTGTGTCGTTGTGTGTGTGTGTGTGGATAAGATCATAAGATCCACATCCAACTGCTGCCATTGGTCTTTTCTGCTGAAATCAGCGTACGCCGCTGTCACCGTCTGGCTCGCGGAGCCCTGGAAGCGTGACGGCGTCGCTACACAAAATAGCTCCAGCAACCCAGTTAGCTCGTCATCCTCCGTGTGTTCTTAGATACAGTACGAGATTGCGAGGACAACAAGCCCATATTCGTTTTTCCTATGCACAATCAAACACCCGTATAATCTTGTAGGATTCAAGAGACAGGCCACTTTAATCCTATGTTTTTTCTATTCCTGCCTTTTCAAAATTCTACGAATCAAAGAGGCCCTATATATTTAGATTCAAAGGATTTTCATAAGATTTTTAAAGTATTAGAGTCCTTGCGAATTTTCTCCGCATTGATAGTTTGATTCGTATGATTAAATCCCATAGATTTTTTCCCCACAGATTCATTTGTAATACATTACATAGGAATTCTAGCATCCGCTCCAACCTCTTGAAAGAAATCCTTTATTTTTCCTATGATACATTCAAACAAACTCAAATCCTGCAGGAATCCAATGGGCATGTCATCTCCCGTGTTTTTACTATCCCGCGAATCAAAGAGGCCTGACTTTTGCCCAAAGGGTTGATTAGATGTTCGTCCTTTTTTTTTGCGATGAATTGGATGTTCGTCTTACGATGCACGCCAAGTCGATTTGCATGCTTGCCCACAAAAAAAAGTCGATTTGCATGCAATTTAATCTCTTGAAACTTGCAAGCTTCCCTATCCATGAGAAAAGTTATTTTTAGAAGTTTTTTTTACAATATTCACAAAGAGAAGTGGAAGGACAACTAGCAACATGATGTATCACCACACATAATCTTTGGCCTTTATGAGTATAGGACTTAGCACTCATCTCGTACCATATTATTATTTTTCGGTACAAGACAACAATATGTTTATAAGAAAGCATGTCTGCATTGTAACTGATGATCAATACCACACCACAAAGCTAAACAAATCCACTCTCTCACGAAACTATCTAAACACACCACCCCGGCGGCTCGAATGTGAGTCACGAGGGTTGAGACGGTTCGTTGATGCTCCACGTTCCGAAAGACCCTTGCATTGGTTGTTTCTAGAGATTATCCGTAATGAGAATGACCATTGAATCAAAACCTCTCATGATACATTTCCAAAAAAAAAAAACTCTCCTGATTCTCTTCGTAGAGGTTCTCTTGACCTTAGACACCACTCCTCAAGGCAGACACTCGTCCTTGGGACCACAACCTAAATCTGAAGCTCCATGAAGCATTTGCACCAAATCTCTCTCGCATTCACATATTGCATAAGTATGTGACACATCTTGTCCTTCTCCTGACTGCAAATAAAGCAAGGCAAAGTGCTCTGTTGCAAGATAAATATATTTAAAGTATAGTAAAGAAAGACAATACAATATAGGTAAGAAATGAATACAAGATCATATATGTGGATATTTTGGTTGGGACATGAGTTGGGTAATAAATCTTCCTAACCCCATGCATATAAATATATGGGTATGTATTGGTTGAGAAAACTTGCGTGGCATATCCTTCTGTGTTATGTCTAGCACTTAACACTAACGTAACTGTATATTTTTGCGGTGAGTGATTTTAAACGGAAATATGCGACTAAAACATGACATACAGTACAGCGGGGAGAAACATTTAACTTAAACTTCAAGAAACCATGAGACAATCGTATTATTTTTCTCTTTTTTTTGCAATTTAGCAAAAACTTATGTCTAATATGTCACTTTTTTGCACGGAATAAATATAAATATGCATATAAAATACAGGCGTAAGGCCTCAGGTCTCATGGTCCAATTTTTTTTTATTTAAATGCACACATGACCTAGCACGTTGAGTGCAACGGAGCGTATGGAAGATATGCCCTCAAGTTGTAATGCGAATTATCCATGATCGTCGATTTTGTGCTATGGAGGTTTGAAAAATACAAATATATAACTTGCATAGTGTTTTCGTAACACAAATTGTGTGTGTGCGCGCGCGCATGTTTTCCTCAAGAAACACTCCAAATAATAAGATGTATATGGATTTATTTATTTTTACACATTTTTGATTAAAAATACAAGTGCAAGTGTACAATTGTACATTGCACCAATATTTGTTTGCCAAGCTTGCAACATTTCTTTTTACCCCTTGGTCACCTCGGCGTTTGACGTTCGAGGGGCACCGGCGTAAATTCGCGTTTACCAACGTACGTAGTACTACATGCCAATGTTTTTCTCATGATGATGAGGGTGTACACCACGGCGCAGTTAGCCCTAGTAATCAGTCAGAAATACATAGAGCTATCTCAACGAAGGAGAAGAGGGAGATCTGTATTTCTGCATCGGTAAAGGAAACGGAAAAGGGCGAGAGAGAGAGAGCCCACCCAAGCAGCAAACCCGGAAATTAAAATTAATAACCAAACTCAATCAAAAAGGGAAAAGAAAAAAATTTACACGATTTCTGCGCCCTTCTCTTCGGCGTCTTCGCTACTCTCCGCCAGCGGAGCCCCAACAGGACCAACCCTCCCCGCCGGCGCCGCCGCTCGCGCAGGCAGGCGCGGGCGATGTACAAGCTCGGCGGCGGCCGTGGCGCCGGGCGCGGCGGCGGCGGCGGCGGCGCCAAGCGCCCGCCCGCGCCCCATGGCCGCGGCCGGGGCGCCTCCTCCATGGGCAAGGGCCCGCCTCCGCGCGGCCGCGCCGCCGCCGCCGCAGCAGCCTCGGCGGCGGCCGCTGCACAGGCAGCCGGGCGCGAGGAGTCCTTCAGCCTCGAGTCCAGCGGCCCGCCCGCCTTCGCGGCAATCATAAGGCTCACCCCCGACCTCGTCGACGAGATCCGGCGGGCGGAGGAGGCCGGTGGTGGCGCCCGCATCATGTTCAACTCCAGCATCAACCCCGCGGAGAACGTGAGCTCTCTCTCTCCCTCTCTCGCCCTCCCTCCGCCGTTTAGTTTTTCTTTTCCCTTTCCCTTCGAGTCAGTTACGAAGTTTAACCTAACCACAATTTGGATGTTCTACGCATTACGGTTGTTTGGTCGAGAGCGCCCCTTTCTGTTTTTCCTTTTCCATCCATGACCCTGTTCCTGAGTCTGGGGTAGGTTCATAGGTTCATTGTGTGTTTGGTTTTGCATTCAGATTGCTCGAATTTCCTGCTGGGTACTTCAACTTTGAACTGCCAGCACGTGTTGGACATCTTAACTCAGCTCATGTTAGAGCTGCCAATTTTCATTTTATCATTGTGCGGCTTTTCCGCTCCGCTCCGGTTTTTAGAGGACGGTCTTTTAACTGAATCCTTTCAGTACTTGGTCCGGATGAGTCTCATTTGGCTTAAGACTGCATGGTTATTGTTGAGTGGAGTTCATGTTGTAGTTTATCCAAATTACCTGTTCAATTCGCATTTAGTTTGATATGCTGGAGGGAAATGCTCTGTTACGTTCTCATTGGGGGCTTCAGTTCAGTGTTCTGGCTGGGGATTGGTTTGGTGACTTCGGGCATGAGCTCTCAAGCTTTTACATGCATTTTCTTTCCTGCCTAATATGATTTTCCTTAGCCTTTCTGTACAGCGGGAGCAAGTGTATTGTTTGCTGATGATTCTTTTGTGTAGTCCGAGCAGCATAACAGTAAGCGGCATACAATCTGATTTGAAGCTGTTGAAATTTAACTGTGCCTCCATACCATCTAACATATAATTCTTTTCAAAACAATTATCCATAGTTCAAAAAAGCGCTAGGCGTAAATTGTGCGTTTTGCCACCGCCTTGCGCTTTACTGACCAAAGCGCATGCTTATGCGCAGATTAAGTGCAGTTATGCGCAATGCGTTTTGCCAACACATAGAGCCTAGGCGCGCTTAAGCGCTCGCTTAGGCGCGCCTTTTTGAACTATGCAATTATCTACCTATAATTTTATGATTTTTTGCAGTTTAGTGGGGGTTCTTGGCTTGGTACATTATATGCTCTAAGCTTAAGATTAGTTTGGTTTCTTATGTTGTTTAGGATCATTAAAAGTTTTCCTTTGAGTGACGATCCAAACTTTAGGTTCCAAGTTCATGAGGCCCATTTGAATGATTTAATTCAAAACGATATTTGTTAATTTTAGTGCATAACAAGCTGACACATTTCTCACCGGGTCTTTTATCTTTAGTGTGAGATTTTTTTAGGTACTGTAACTCCGTGGTGCTTTTGGAATTACTAATAGTGTGAGATTTTTTTAAGTACTGTAACTCGGTGGTGCTTTTGGAATTACTAATAGCGGGATATGTATGTTTCTTTTTAGAAAAAACGATCACCCATATAAGATTTCTCGCTGAAGAGTCTCATGAATGATGGACAGTGAGCTCCAATACCCATCTCTTGTTTCAAATAGAACTCCGCATCTAAATCTATCCCCATTTCCCCTTTCGGGACTAAATTAGTGCTGGCGAACTCTTCAAATCTTAAAATTAATTATAGACAATGAACTGTTTTATGATATGCATGAACTGCAAGCTGGTTTAAAGAAAGAGGAAAATAGCAGCTAGCTGGTACTTTGGGTCTCTTGTGAAGACTGTCTGGATTCTTACCTTTCTACATTACATGTCAAGTCTACTGGAACTGAACTCTTATGTCTGGCTGGTTATTTCTGTGGATCCTTGTTGTACTATTTTGTTTCGTTTGTAGAATAAATATCACTTCCATAACATGTTGCTTCGACACCACCAAGTATTCTGTTGTATCTACTGTAGTATGCTTTGTTAAGTGATAAGCTTACTAGTTATAAATTTGTGTATTTGCGCTTCACATGTGTATGGAACTTACTTTTATAGTGTCCAATAGTTAGAATTGTACTCAATCCGCCCCAAAATAATAGTACAAAGTTAGTACAAAGTTGAAACACTTATTTAGGTATGGAGGGAGTAGATCATTTAGGATTTGAAGGTTGCTGGAAGATCAGCAGTTGACTTGGTATTGCTTGGTATTCACGATCGCTTCATATGTGGTTTGATGAGAAAATACAAACATGTTTTAGGTACATACAAACGGAACAGTAATGCCTGTATTCATGTATCCACTCATGCAATTTTCTGTTGTTTAAGTAATAAGTAATACCAATGCCATGATACTTGTGCACTGGAGTATTTATAACTGCTGTGTCCTTATTACCTTAGTACCATGGAGGAGGGTTTAGAGTCTTACTTTGAAAGAAATAGTACCCCCCCCCCCCTTTGTTACTGCTTTTTGGCATGACGCAAAGCCTGTGCAACATGAGAATTACTGCTGTACATTTAATTTGTTTAACTGAAAGTTCTTTTCTTGAACTAGGTTATCGACGTTGATGGTAAAGAATTCAATTTTGCATGGGCATCCGAACGGGGTGAGTTATGTGATATTTACGAAGAACAACAGAGCGGGGAGGGTGGAAATGGCTTGCTTGTGGAACGTGGATCTGCTTGGCGCAAGGTGACCGTGGACCGCACTTTGGACGAATCAGCAAAGAACCTTGTGAAAGCGCGCTCAGAGGAGGCTGAACGTCTCGCGAAATCTCGAAAGTTTGTCTGCTTTCCCTGATGCATAATTCTCACTGATTAATCATCATCCTGATTTATAGGTTTCTTAGATCTTTTCTAAGTACTGCATATAAGTCCAATTTTTTACTTACACATCCTTGTTTAATTTTCTGTTGTATAGATCAATTGTGCTGGACCCTGGGAATCCATCTGTAAGGAATCAGGCCAAGTCAATGGTTGCAGCCGGAGAAGGTTTGAACTTTGATAACTCGTTTTGTTTTTCTTGAACGAGTTCATTATTTCCACCTCACTTTTACATTCATGCTTCGATAGTAGAAATTTGTGACGTGTTCAGTTTTTCTATGTGCAATGTAAATGCTGGTTTTGAATTTGATTAGTGCCTAAGGTTCGTTAGACTGTATAACGGCTAAGGTTTGTAAGAGATTGTATAATTTAGTGTTGCTATCTCTTCCAGGTAATATGCGGAGGGGGAAATGGAACCAGAAGAAGGACAATTTCAATAAGAAGCAAGGTTTCAATTCTCTCTGATCTTCTCTTTTACTTACTTACTTACTTACGAAGCCTTTTATCCCAAACAAGTTGGGGTAGGCTAGATATGAAACCCTTTCACGAGGACTTCCCAGGAGGTCACCCATCCTAGTACTACTCTCGCCCAAATGGGTTTCATACCCAAAAGACTGGCTAGTTTTTACGTTGGCTCGCCAAGCCTATCACAACCCTTAGATATGAAACCCTTTCACGAGGACTTCCTAGGAGGTCACCCATCCTAGTACTATTCTCGCTCAAATGGGTTTCATACCTATGGGACTGGCTAGTTTTTACGTTGGCTCGCCAAGCCTATCACAACCCTCCTCCTTTACCCGTCTGATCTTCTCTTTTGTAGTACTTTATTCTTTCTATGTATATAAATGTCCTACTATTCTACCACTAAAAAAACCCTGCATTACCATGTACCTGACTTTGTTTTCGTGGGTCTACTCCAGCTACTGTCATTCCGACCAAATCAATTTCTAAAGTAAAGCTGCCTAACAGTATTCCCAAAGGAAGTATCTTGGCTTCACCTGTGCCTTCTCCTGAGCAACCTGGACCAAGCATTCATTCATTTCCTGTTGGGTCAGATGCAAATAATGAAGTCATAGTACCTTTTGATATGAATAAAGAGGAAAACAGTAAATTTGAGAAAGCAACACCAAATAGGATCTCTCGAGGACTAAATCATGGGGCAGGTTCTGTTTCTGCAAGTGTTGAGGATAATACAACTGATATGCGTAGCCTGCTGATATCTACACTCTCAGAAAATCCAAAAGGAATGAATCTAAAGGTAACCCCCCCCCCCCCTTTAGCATGTGCAAATAGGAAAAGGAATCCAGAAGTTTTAAAATGAACTACCAGTAATTTTTAAATATTACAAGCTTCCATGCTAACTTATACATGATTTTTCTGCACTCGTTTGAAAGACAGCCATAGTTCCATGAGTTTGCTCTATGAGATGTCACTTCAATTATGGCTGACCTTGTGGTCTGATGACTGTTCTGTATCTTTTGATTTTTTTTCCAGCTTTATACATGATGTATTGTGATATCATCCATAGTTGGCTTGATCATATGCTACAAATGCTTTGGTTCATGATCTTAGATGCCTTTGTTCTTGTCATTTGTTTAGTTGCCTGATTCCCGAAGGCTTACTCCAAAAGGAATTTCCTGATGTTTCTCTTCACTACATGTTGTGAAACATATGTAGGCCTTGGAGAAAGCTGTTGCAGATGCAATTCCAAATGCTTCAAAGAAAATAGAGCATATCCTTAAGAATGTGAGTCACAAACATTATCCACCGCCTTTTTTCTCGGTAAGGAGACATTAAGAATATATCATGATGCACACTTAACATATTTTTATTTATCCAGGTTGCAGATTGCCAGTCATCAGGGAGGTATTTGCTGAAACCTGAACTGGAAGTAGAAAACTCTAATCATGCATCTGGCAGTGGAAGGTACTATTTTTCTCCTACAAGTTCAATTATGTGCTTCTTTTCTTGTTTAACCGGGCATTCCCTTCATGATGCCCTCCATAGTTTTATGTATAGTTATTTTCTACATGTTTGCTACTTCCGCCCACAAGCACCTCAGTGTCTAACTGATGTATCTAACAGGACTATCGATGAGAACATCGAAGAAATTGCTCCAAGCTTAAGCATAGATGATCCTGATATTGAGAAGATTGAAATTGGGGGCTCCCCGGTTTCAGCTGCAGGAGACGAAAAGGTCAATGACAGTGATGGCAAAGCAGGTAGCTCTAGTGAGAGTGGAAGTGATAGTGACAGCGACAGTGACAGTAGTGGCAGTGGAAGTGATAGTGGCAGTCAGAGTAGAAGTGCTGGAAGTGGCAGTGGGAGCAGCAGCGACAGCGATAGTGATGCTTCATCAAGCAGCAAGGAAGGATCTGATGCATTTGTGGATATTACAAGTGATGATAACAAGCCAGATACAGCACGTAGGAAAGTAGCAGATGAACTGAAGTTGTCTTCCTCGCCAAGAGATTTTCCAACATTTGATGGCGATGATGAGCAAATTGATATTGGGACAAATCTGGATTATAAGAGCACATCATCACACATTGATCTGAATAATTTGAATGTCGACAATGATGAGCCGGCATATGCCACTACAGCAACTGAGAAATTTGGTGCAAGCGATGTAGACATGCCATCAGAATTTCCAGGAAGCGAAAACATGGTGAGTACCAGGTTAGATCCAAGTATAGTTGATGGTGAGTATCCTGCAAACAAAATGTCTTATGAGGACAATCATTTTGATGACCCCTTAGCAGCGAGTAGTGAGAACTTACCTAATGAAGAAGCTATTCAGTTCACGGAGCAGCATGGTAGCAGAAGAAAGTCAACCTCAAAGGGTGGAACAAACCATGTGCCCACAAGAATATCAGAGAAAGGTGCCAAACCCACCTTGAAAAGGTTTCCGGGTAATGAGAATGCTATTACAAAGCCAGAAAGTGCCAAAAAGGCCAAGGTTGACTTTGCCTATTCAGGAGCTACAGGTTCTTTATCAGCACAGAGACAGAACTTGCCTCCTGACAAACATATCAATGAGAGGTCAAGCAAGGAGACAGGGAATCTTGGATGGGACACACATACTGAGCTACAGGTACAAGATATTAGTCCTATGGAAGGAAGGCCTGTGACTCCTGGTGATCTACAAAAGATAAATCAGAGCCAAAATCTGCCCATCCCAACTCACTCTGAGGGAAAACAAGAAAAGATCACGAAAACAAGCTCTAAGAAGAAATTAGATAAGGTGCAGAAACCTTTGAATAGTATGGATGACAGCCCTGGGAATGTTAATTTTGACAACACTGATGATTCTGCTGCAAGAAAAAGGGGTAGGCATGGGGGATCTTCTCTTGATGGGAAAAAGCACAAGCGCTCAAAGGATCCTAATATTGATACAAATCCCATGAATTTGACCAAAGGTGTCAGAGGAAATGTTAATCACAACATGATGATGTCTCTTCCTGAATGCACTGAAACTAATGGCAAGCCACCAATTTTGCAAAGAAACAGTGCTGAGAAATCATCTCCAAAAAAGGTGCTCCAGAGAGAGCATTCTGATCTCGAGTTGGGGGAACTTCGTGAGTTACCTTCGGAAAATGACAACGGGAGGACAAGGAAACAACTTGAGAGAAATAGTTCTTCTAAGTCGCTTGATGGTAAAGCAACTAATGTAGATAATTTCTACCCCAATATGAATACCAGGAAGGTTGCCCTATCTGCTTCCCATGATCAGAGGAAACCATCACCGCAAGAATTTAATTCTGGAGGTAATATAAACCAGGAAGGATTCCCAAGGAAGACCGCCGGATACGACTTTGATAATAATAGGTCTCAGCATAGAGGAAATGTTTCACAGGGTCGGCAATTGCCAAGGACTGATGATTCAGATTCAGAGAACGTATTATATCCAGACAGGTCGGTAGAGAAAACAGGCAAAAGAGAAACAAAAATGGCACAGGGTGGAATGCTAGATCATGTAGATAGGAAGAAGACTACTCCCAAGCTTCCTCAGAATGGTACCAAGAATGGCATAGAGTGTAGAACACGGAAATCAATTTCCCCTGCAGAAAATGAGGAAAGAAGTAGGAATAACTCTTTGATAGAGACTGAGACAGGTAGGAAGAGAAGAGACAGTTCTTCGGAAGAAGACAATCTATTCTTTAAGAAGTACGATAAAGCTAAGCCAGAACTGAAAGGTCCAATAAAAGATTTTTCACAGTAAGTGACAATATACTAGATGTTTTTATGCCTTTTGAAGTATTTCTGCTAGTGCATTTAATTTGTTTAGCTTGTTTGCACACTCATCACCAAGATTTACACTGCCTTCTTGTGAAAATATTTGATTAAATCAGAATTTTCCTTGAGATTTTCAGCCGATGCTAGAAATAATTTTCTGCTCTAATATACACACACGCCTGTGTACGGTCTCAAAATATAAGGTGTATTTTGTTTTGCCAGAGCATGACTTCGACCAACAATTACTTTACAAAATCAGAGTAATTTAGTACTCCCTCTGTAAAGAAATATAAGAACGCTTAGATCACTAAAGTAGTGATCTAAACGCTCTTATATTTCTTTACTGAGGGAGTAAGTGTTTTGTAATGAATTTTCTTTTGACTAGAAGATCAAACTAAATAATATAATAAGGTCTGATGAGTAATGTTTAACAAATTGGGATTTTAAGGACATCATTTTCATGTCACATAAACTATATACCAAGAGAATTTTTATCAAGGACTTGTCGTAAAGAAACAAAGTAAGTCATATATTTTGGGACGGAGTCATGGAGGGATTACAGTTTACCTCTGGGGTAATTTTTGTGTCTTGAAATCCAATAATGATAACAGTACCACACTTAGCACAAATATAGGTCCCAGTCACAAGTGTAACGCAGCATCATATTCATTAAGAGATTCAAAACGCAACTGTTTTCCTTGTGAGATAGACCACACATAGGCAATTACTCAATGGCTGGTATATCTTCGTTGCAGTTGTACTTTTTGTTCATGCAGGCAACTAACTGATTATATCCATTTTCAGATACGAAGATTATTTGCAGGAGTACAATGAGAAATATAAGGTCTACTCTTACTTGAACAGTCAGATAGAGAAAACACAGTATGTGCTAACCTGAATTTTTCCTTCTAAAATTCCACTTTGTACTCTTGTTTTAATTCTTCACAGTCCATGTTCTATCTTCTCCTATAACTTAGCTTAAGCATGCTTTTTATGCAGGTCTGAGTTCCTAAAGGTTCAGGAGGATTTCAATGTTGCTAAAGAAAGAGACAAGGATAAGTACTATAACATTGTTGACAGACTCCGAGACATGTACCATGAATCGGGCACAGTATGCTTTCTGCCTGCCTTTTTCTTCATTGATTGAACCTGAGTAACATAACTTTTTACAGTTAACTG